AGCAGGAATCTGTCCCAATTAACAAACAAAAGTGGAGACATCTAATATCCTCAGCAGCGATCTGTGAAATCGTAGCTGAATTTTACTAAAAGTACATTCAGAGCTCCCCTAACTACTCTTGCTCTTCATCATTTTGAGGTAAGCTCTGAGTGCACTTGCTCAGCTGTAAATTCATATGCAAAAGGTAGTTATTGAGGACGTTACACATACAAGATCTTCATCCTTCTAATTCCCCATCTTGCTTAGAGGTAAATCGTGATGGAAATTACATACAGTAGTTTTGTGATTGAAGTGCTGATTAGGTAGAGACCTCCAAATTGGTTGCGTGTAGATCACAACCAATCTTCTGAAGAACTAAATAGCATTTATCAGTATTGCATGCTGACTCTTACATAGCAGATATAAAGGCCTTGCATATCAGGGTTGGGTTTTTTTTGTAAAGCTTAAGAAAATTAATATGATGGTGCAATGAAGGAAGTAAATGATTCTGCCCATCTTTCCTAATACTGTTAAGTCATATTTTTAATCTGGAATCTGGCCTAATATGGAACATCCCCAAAGTTAGTTTGAATTTGGATTTGATGCTATGTTTCAAACTTGTAAAAATTATGAGCAACTAAATTCAGATTTAGGTATGATTTCTTTTCCTCATAAATGGATTATCCAAGGACGTGTGGGAGGGAGGGAATTTTGGAATGATAATATGTTTTACCCATTCTTTATTTTCAGTTACTATAGTTAAAGAAAAATCAGTGTGTACTTGGAGCAATAGGTTATCTCCTACTAATTTTTATTAAGAAACACTTAAATATGATGGGCATCTAACCAAAACCCATCTCAGTGATGGTATGTGAATTGCTTTAATAAAATCAAGACATTAATTCTGTCATAATAAAAATTAGCCAGTTCCAGATTTTGTGTGCTCATGTATTACTGTTGTAAATTTTAAAGTAGTAATGGAATGATATGGCAAACTTTTTAAAAAGCTTTTTTAAAACGTAATTTAGTTGAGTAATTTCATGTCTGAGTTGAAGATGTTTTCAATAAGCCTTTCATTTCATATACCTATTATGTTTATGCATACATCTGAAGTGAAAATGTTTAAATATATCACACAGTTGGTATAGTAAGAAAATAAGTTGGTATTTCTTCCATAATTTATTATCTATTTGTATGTCTTAAATTCTTATGCATATATATTAATATCTCCACCTTTGCTTTAACTTGTAGATCTGGCAGTGTGGGGGAAAATTGTTGTTTGTTCCCTGTTCTCGTGTTGGACACATCTATCGTCTCCAGGGTTGGCAAGGAAATCCACCTCCTGTGTATGTTGGGTCTTCTCCAACATTAAAGGTATTGTTTTGCTGCAACCTTGAAGGTGTTGTTTCTTATTTTTGAAAACAGTCCTTTTAGATAAATCTATTTAAATTATCACTAGCAGTTTAGAGAGCACTTTATCCAAACCTATTTAATGTCGAAAGCTAAGATGGTCATACCCACAGGAGAGAAATCTCTGCGCCAATTCCACTCTTATTAAGAGTAGAGATTCCTGGAACCCACATTCTTGCTCCACCTCTCCCCATCTTTCAGGTACAAATCACATTCCCTATCACTTACTCTCAGCACCTCAGTCTTTGTTGTGCTATGCCCAGCTGAAGTACGAACAACTCTAGTAAATACAGCACACACCTGGAGATGATGACCATGGGTTTGAAATCCCCCTTTGGTTTGACAGGGTATGATTCTAGATTGAGTTAGTGCATGCTGTAATCTAGCATCTCCTTGGACCTTTGATGCTGCATTTGTTAATTGAGAAACAGTGAGTGACACCTGGGAAAATGGCATGCTCTGCTCTTCATCATAAAGGTTGGTAACTCCTCAGGCACCTTGCAGGTTCAATAGTGTTGCTCAAGCCATGATACTAAAAGTAGACATCACCTCAATAAAAGAATGAGCCAGCTGTCTCTGAAGAGATAAATTTGAATCAATAAAAATTGTTTCATATACGTTTGCACCTACCAGCTGGATGTAAGATGACCTTTCTGTCAAGGTTTCCTATTGCCTGGTTTAAGCTTCCTGTTGTGCATTGTTTTGGCATTGGTAAATCCCATTGCCAAAGACCCAGTTCTTTGTGAATTCCATCCCAGAGATGCTACCTGTTCCTAGATGTTACCTGTGATGATGACTACTGGTACGGTTACAGAGTATGACTTGGGCCAAGCTAACAGTTGATTCTGTTGAAAAGAGAATGTTCCAGCCTCACTTAATGGTAGAAAACTAACCTGGTGCCAAAAAAAAAAAAGTCCTCTATTAGTAATGTGACTTGCTTAACATTTTGATCAAACAAGCACTAGGACCAGTACAAGGGAGGGTAGGGGGAAATAGGTCTAGTTGGGAGTAGCAGTAGAGCAATGGGAGACAGGGTAGCAAATCACAGCTCCATTACTCAGTGCAGGCTAGATGTTGGACTTGACTGAAATTATAAAAAACATTTCACTCTTCTGAAAAGCTGTTCAAAAATATTTACTGCATATCTAAACACTTTACATGAGTCTGCTCATCTGCTTACTGAATACAACAAAACACTACTGAGTGTGCTTAAATATTAATTTCCTTCTCTGTTCAAGGCAGGATGCAGGAATAGCTCTCTCCCTCTTTGGACACTCTCCTATCCCCATAGTAAATGTGCTTTTTTATAGCTTTGTTCAATTTATGCTGGATGTGGATTAAAGTAAAATTCACAATAATTTGTGCCTTTAGTCAGATCTGTTAAGACTCTTTTAACACTAGATCATTAGTGCTAGAAGAATTGTACAAAGTGAAGTGTGCATCTAGGACGTGTACAGCTAATGTAAAGATAAGAGCCGTCAGAGAGACTGAGAAGTGAGATGTGAGGGAGGGGCTTGTTAACCAGGCGAGCTATCCATTTTTCCCCTTCTCCAAACAGCAATAAACTACTTTACTTGAAAAGATAAAATCTCCTTGGTGTGTCCTAGCTGACTCATTTAATTTTTTCACTGTTAGTGGACTAATGCATATCATTCTCTATATTAAAACTGTAGAAGCTGAATACAAACTCTGAATTGCAATTCTGGTACACAGCAAATGATTGCAACACTTTATTGCACCCATAACTGAAGAGTCTTTCTTTTCAAATAAACATTCTCTAAACTAAGAAAAAGACTTTATGCTCTTGTTAAGCAAGCCAGTTTATTTTGCTGGCATCAGTCCTAACAGTCATTTGAAAATAATATGTTTGTGTCCTGTGTAATCTGCTGAAGGTGACAAATTATTAGTGCTATTTAGTAATTTCATGCAGTCTCTTAAATTTCTGGAATTAACATGCAGTTGCATCTGACCTGCTGCGTGTGCTTTGAGGTAGCAGTAATGTCCTTGCTTTTACAGAACTATGTCAGAGTTGTAGAAGTGTGGTGGGATGAATACAAAGATTACTTTTATGCCAGTCGGCCAGAAACAAAAGCACTACCTTACGGAGATATATCTGAGCTGAAAAAATTCCGTGAAGATCACAACTGCAAAAGTTTCAAGTGGTTTATGGAAGAAATAGCATATGATATAACTTCATATTATCCCTTACCACCTAAAAACGTGGACTGGGGAGAGGTAAGTACAATACATAACCTGTATTTATTTTAGGAGCTTTTTTTTTTAAATTGAAAGTGCAAAAAGAAGCAATTATTACTTGACATCAGTCTGAGAACAGGCTCCTTGATTACTGCTGTACTAAGGTATATGGTACTAGTCAAACAGTTATAGAGATACAGCCCTAGGAAAACAAATATTTTGTACTTTAAGAGGTGTGATTTTTTTAATTAGCTCCATAGTTACTTGAAGAATTATTTTATCTCTAGCCCTGTCTTCAGTTGTGTTTAAAGCTCTTTTTTCCATGATTGGAATTTAGGTTTTTTAAAAAGGAAAAACTGTTAATCCAATGTATATAGGAGTATTGGCAAAGATTAATAGTGAAAATCTTTTTCTGTGAAGAAACGGGGAATAGATTATGAAATTCGGGTGAAGTACATTCTGCCTATATTTGCTAGCCTGGGATGTACTCATACAATTACAGCCTCAGTAAATCCATTATCTGTATTTGATATGATTCCTTAACAGTCATTTCCAGTATTGGTGTATATGAGTGATTTTGCTAAATTAAGAATATGGTTACATATTTGGCATTTTCACATGGTTGACAGAGAGAGACAACATGTCGCTAGTGAGTGCAGGACACCTCACTGAACCCTGGCTGTTTTGTTCTGGCATTGAGCCCACTCTGAGCTTTCAGAATTCTTTAATTTTTTTGCTGTTTTTCAGTTGGTTGCAGCCTTGCCCTGTCTTTCCTATTAATTTCACTTTCGTAGACTGTGGAGGCAAAATCAGAAAATTGTCTCTCTAGCAGAGGAGGACTCCTGTGTCCCATCGAATTTAACAACCCTCTTTGCCAAGATATGACGGACCTGGTTTTGTAACTTCAAAATGGCATTAGAAAGTACAGATCTATGCTGTTTCCTATGGCCAAGAAATTGTCATCTCAAATTTACCTGAGTAATTAGTGATATAAAGTATGTGCATGGTGGAAGGAAGTACTAACAGTCTTGTACCTGAGACACTAGGTAAACAATGCCACCTTAATTTCTTACTTAAAAGCTAGCACAAAGCATCAGTAACTACATTAGCCTTAGACCTCCTTCTGAATCCACATAAAGGGTTTTAAGGCACGTTATTTATTACTGTTCACTGAGGTGAAAGTATCAGAAGATAATAAAATAGCAATGGCCACCTTGCAGGAAATCATCCCTAATAAGAGCGAGCAGGTCTGATGAAGCAACAGGATAGTCTGAAGTTCAGAGATGTCTCTGAAGTTTTCTTCAGCTCTTCTTCACTGGCTTCTAGTTATCCTACATCTGACAAAATTTTTTTCGCAGCTATTTTAAACACCACACTAATTGCATTTCCAAAATGTTAGGAATGGAAACGTGGGGTTCATCTTCCCTTACACTCTCTCTGGAAGTCAGGTCTAAGCTTAGTCCTCCAGACTTTCTTCCACCATCACGAAAAAGAAAGAGGCTCTGGCAAAGAAAATCGATCTGGAAAGAATGTTACTTGTGTCATAAAGTCTTTGAAAGCCATTTACTGGCCCTTCTGAGAAGGGAATGGATAATCAGCAGTTGAGGCATGCTTTCTGACAGGACTTTTGTTCTTTATGTTTCTTCTATGCCTGTGCCTGCCCCTTATCAATTTTACCTCTTTTATTCCCCATGTAATTGCTGCTGTGGAGGTAATTCAGAGCAGCGAGGTCAGTGGGCTGTGCCAGGCTGCGGTGAACAACAGCTGCGCGTAACTTCTCTGCATCACGTTTTTCTCTTCTGCAAGATGAGAGCAACTTAGCTCTCTCTTAGCTGAGCTCTTGCTTTATTTATGAAGACCTGGGAGACTAAAGATGCTTTGATAGGAGATAGAATAAATTAAAATACTTGAAAGTCCTACATTTCAGTGTCATGATTTTGGAACTGAGCTTTGCAACTCTTGCTTCATCAGTGTACTCTAACTCCTGTAAGAGCCCACAAATTAACATGGGTAGCTTGAAGTTCCATCTCCCAGAACAGTTAACATCAGTATTTAAATTTCATACGCAGGTTTGTCTCATATCTCTCTGGCAGATACCTGTTTCGCATTTGAAAGATAAGTGAGAATTTTTTGAACTCCTTCGTGCTTATTTTCTCCATGAGACTAACTTAGAGTACAAAACCTCCTTTCCAGATTCGAGGCTTTGAAACTGCTTACTGCATCGACAGCATGGGGCACACCAACGGTGGCTTTGTTGAGCTTGGGCCGTGCCACAGAATGGGAGGAAATCAGGTAAGGAGCCTGGAGGCAAGTCTGAAGGAGAATTGCTTGCTGTGGATAGTACAGGCCATTTTTCTGTTAAGCATCTACGTAAAATCACTTAGGTGCTAGCTACAAAGATGGGAGTTAGTGACATTGCTAAAGTACGGGAATCTGAAAATACCATTTCAAACAGAAACAGTATAAGATTGAAGGCAAATTCATAATCTCTTCTTCAGTAAAGCAGGTATATGGGGAAGCAAGGACTGTTCTAAAGCAACTATATCCCTGCATTAGAACAACTGCAGCTTTAGCTCTTAGCATTGCTGCTGATTCATCATTTATCTTCACTTAAAATTCATCCTTAAGGAAACAGCCTCTTTACTCACTTTGGCTCAATTATTTCCCAAAGTTGTTTTGCTCTAATGGGAGTATAAAACACTTCTGTGCAGTAACTCATCTTCCAACACAGGAGACAAGAAATTGAATACAAATTTGCCTCTGCTTCATTTACAGATTAATTGGCAGAACATAATTACTAATAGATGGCTGCAATCCAATCTGCTATCATGTTTGACCTGTATCTGCAGTTGGAAAACTTTCTGGCTTTTAAAGTCCTTGTTTATACTGATGTGGCCTTGAATCACAGAATCACAGAATCACAGAA